TAAGAGACAAAATAGGGGTCTGCAATGGGAAATGTCTTTCCATTTGAGGAACTGCTGCTATGCTGGCGGAACAGTACTGTAGAATCCCAGTCTGGTTTGCTTTTGTCCATGGCTTTAAAACATTTGGAACATTTGTTCTACTCAGAACAGCAGCCTTAGAGATTCAGATGTAACTTTTTGAATTTATACAATTAAAAGTTCTCTCCTTTAGATGGTTATGTGAGAACATTGTTTCTTTTCAGGCCTTACAGCATGGGTTTTTTGACTTCAGAACATTTGATGCAGACGAATATGAACATTATGAGGTTTGTGCATGTTTTGAATTGATGCGTTTGCCCAAGATTAAACATGACACCTATTTCACATAACTAGATCTACTGTGCTGAGAGGCTTGGGATCCTTGAGCTTCTCCTGTACTGGAGGCACTACATAATTGGTATGACTTTCTATGTTATCTTGCTGCTTCTGATGTCAAACATGTTCTTTTAATATAAAGCAAACAGTTGAAAGTTGGTAACTATCTTGGTGTCATCTGAAAGATGCCTAGTGTTGCAACTACAGAATACATATGACGTTCAGTGGTGCAAAAGGTCTGTCTGGAGTGCACATTCTTGTAAGTCATGATGTGTAAGGCTAAGTGGAAAAGAGAAAAAGATTTGAAAGGTGGGAATCAAGGAAAATGGATTTTACTGTTAGTTGTGCAGTGCTCAAAAATCACTTGTGGCTGTTCTTGTGTGGTATTTATCTTAAGGAATCTGTTTTGTTCTGAATGATAGTTTCTGTGCAGCCTGAAGCTATGCTGCTAAATGTTTTTACTGAGCAAGTAATATCATTTTTGTTTGCCTTCCATGGTGTTTTATGTGTTCTAAATCTAGAGTGTTGTTTGAAGAGAGTACTTGGGAATGTTTATTTAGTACATGCCCAGTCACGTTTCTGCGGCATTGATGGATTAGCTAGTAATCTCTGTATAAAGCCCTTCCACTGCTTGTTAAATAATAACTTTGAGGTAAGTTGTTCAGGAATTTGGCATTATTGAATAGGAGCATCACTTTTCCTAGACCTGGGCTTTTATGCACTTCCAAGGAATTGCTGTGTATTGTTTAAATTGTATTTGGAATGGCTTCTTGCTTTCATCCCAGCTCTCTTGAACTGCTGTCACATTGTTGTATATAATTTCATTCTGTTCCTAAACACTTTGTTCAGTAGAATTTTAGACCTCTTGACTTTTTTTTACCTTCAGGTCTTATTGTAAACTGCTTTTGTGTCCTCTAAGTTTCAGGAGTTAATGGCTATGTTGCATGGCCAGACCACTGTAACTGATCTCGCAGTCTCATGGTTCTTTGGATCTTAGACTATGCATGGCATTCAGTTCCATTCAGCAGTGACTTCAGCATGATAACATTTAAGGATGCTGAAGCCTTTTGCTATCAGCAGACCTCTGTTTCTGTAACACAGCAACAAACTTGAGTTTGCACTTCTTAGTGCACAATTGTATATATTCTCAAAATTTAAACGTAAAAAGGTAAATGATAGCTGTTAAGGATGACTTCATCTATTTAACACATATCTCAGTCGTAGTATATTCCTTGACATAACAAGAGGATGATTCATGAGAATGATAGTTCATCTAAGACTACAATTTTACATGTGCAGGAAGCTGTATTTACCACATTAAAAATCTATCAAAGCTAATTGATCTTAATTTTGTCTTCCCTTTAAGACCTGTTTTGCAAGCTTTAATTATGAGGCAGACTTTCATTGCCTCCGTAAATACCAAAAGGAACATAATTGTCTGCCTGCCCCTACCGTGGTGATTCATCAGTAGAGCTAAAGCACATCCTTAGTTCCTATAAAAATTCCTTGGGGAAAACAAACAAAAATCTCTGCAAAAGAGAGATTGCCCAAAAGCTAACTTTACTTTGCAAATTTAGCTCCTTTTTATGAGCCAGACTGTTACTGAAGGAGGTCCAGGAACTTCCATTCATCCAGAATGTAGCAGCAGAATTAACAGCTGAATTGAACTGCAGGCACCATATTACTCAAGTGGTGAAAGATCTTTGCTGGCAGTCTCTTTTACTTCTGAGTTGTTTCCACAAAGGTAGTTTGCTCTGCCTGCTGTTTTCAGGACCATCCACAGGATATCGTCCTCTAACCAGCCTGTTTTCATGTTTTCCTCCACTGTGCTGTGATCTTTCCCAAATCTGGTTTAATGATGTTTTTTGGAAAGTTTGCAGTCAAAACAACTTTGGATGTCATTTGGATAGGAAGGTGTACATCTTTTGGGTCCTGTCCACGCCGGCATAATTTTTCTCACTTTGGTTGCTGCAACAGCCATTTTCACCCTGCTTTTAGAGGGCTTTTTTCAGCTTTAAAGAAATGATAATAGCTGTATTGCTATGTATTGCTATAGCATTATAACAATCTCTATTTCAATAATATACTCGTTACCAGTTTTCTTTTTTCTTTTTTAAGTAAGTCTCCAGATTTACTTAAGTTATAAGAAGAGATGTATGGGCTGCTCTTTTCTCCTTATAATGCTGCAACCAAAAGAATGAGAGATTTTAAAAAAACCCGAAAGCTGGGAACTAATACACCGGTGTAATAGACTGTTATAATGCTATAATGATATAGCTATTACTGGTTTTTAAAAAAATAAGTTTTAAAAAGCTCTCTGGTGGCAGGGACAGAAATGGCAGCCATGGAAGGCTGACGGAAGGACAGTGATGGGGAAAATCCATGTGACTGCTTTGCTGCCACTATGAATACCTCAGTATTTGTAGAAAAGTGAGAGCTTCATGGAGAATCATATCTGTGTGGAGGCAACCCTGGCCCCAATTTAAGATGCTGATTTTGACCTGTGAATCTAGGACATGGTATGTAGAGTACTGATTACTCCCATGTAGTTTTGCCCAGACACTGCAGTTTTCATCAGAGGTGCTTCTTCATGTACCACTGCCTTCTGAGGTAAGGCAGGTGGTCCGAAGGATAGAGCCTTTAATACTATGTTGTGTGGGGAGAGGGGATTTCAAGCCAAGAGGGGTTTTTAAAAAATTCTGGCTGTTTTTCAGAGGGGGGTTCTGTTGAATTAGCTGGGATTGTTTTCCCGATGATGTTTTAAGTGTCCAATTTAGTAAATCTGTGTGTTGTAGTTTTGCTTAGATATTAATGCTGTTTGAAACTTATGTTTTTTTACCGTGAATCACCTCAGGCACCTATTGGTGGAGAAGCAATATTTAAAAACTTAAGTATGTGTACATTGCACAACAGGTTAAAATGTGCTGATCTAAAACTGTGGGAGATTTATAAGCATTTATGTCTCTTTTTCACCAGCGAGTAGAAAATGGTGACTTCAATTGGATTGTCCCAGGGAAATTTTTAGCATTTAGCGGACCACATCCAAAGACCAAAATTGAAAATGGTATGTTTTCCCCCCCCCCCAGTTCTTCTATAGAATTTTATGTCTGTGTCATATGCCTGTATTATGATTGGGTTGAATAGACCTCCATGTGCTTGCCCAAGCACTTTGTGTGCACAGGACAATATCTGTTTTTCCACGATTTTGAATATATTGGGCAAATACCAGAAGAAGAAGAGATTGGATTTATACCCTGCCCTTCACTACCTGAAGGTCTCAGAGTGGTTTACAGTCTCCTTTCCCTTCCCATTCCCACAACAGACACCCTGTGAGGTAGGTGAGGCTGAGAGAGCTCTTTCAAGAACTGCTTGTGAGAGAACAACTCTGAAAGAACTTGTAACTGACCCAAGGTCTCACCAGCAGCTACATGTGAAGGGGGGGGGAATGAAACCCGGTTCTCCCAGACTAGAGCCTGTACTCCTAACCACTACACCAAACTGGCTCTCACTATATCCATAGTTCTTCATTGTTCAAGACATATCTTCTCTAGCTAATGCATTAGGAAACAGGGAAAATAGGCTAGACAGTTTTGAGCCTTTGATCAGTAATGTCTGGGGTAAAATTCCAAACAAGAACAGCATTCATATATGGCACTTTCATACCAGAAATATAATGGGGAACTTATTTGTTTTGTAGCTTGAACTGTTAGAAGTGAAAAGGTAGTGTTGTGTGTTTTGCCCTGAAATATTAATTGTAAAGGAAATTATTATAAACAAACAAAAAACTATAAATTGTTGTAGATAGACACAAAGGCACTACAATTTACTGCAGAATGTACCTGTTACACAGATTTTTAGGATCTGGTTGGCATACTAAAAAAACAGCATGATCTGAGCCAAGATATCCCTGGCCCAAATGTCAGCTGGTCACTGGTTGAATTAGGCCAGCATTCTTTAACTTTTTCAGATCTGGTTACCCACCTTTAACCCTGAACTTCATCATGAGACTCACAATTGTATGTTGTGTAAGCTTTCATTTCTCTGTGTTAAGCAAATAAAAAAGAAAATGTTGGTGGTGCCATTGATATGACACACCAGTTGAAGCTGTTCTCAGCCTCAACCCCGTATTTTATTATATAGGTCATACTGCCTCAGGGTTGTGAAAATTCCTGAGAGTGTGTATGAAACACTTTGAGTGCCAAAAGAACAGCGTTTGAGCCCAGTGGCACCTTTAACACCAACAAAGTTTTATTCAAGGTATAAGCTTTCATATGCAAGCACACTTCTTCAGATACAATGAAATGGAAATTACCTGTCCATGCATACAGGGAGAGGGTGAGCAGTAAATTAACATAGAACATAATGAAGATGTTTAACAGACTCAAGGACCAAACAGGAATAACAGGTTTAGTTTATATAGTTATTTCTTTGGGTTTAAGTCTGGGGGGGGGGGAACATAGTGAAAGAAATAATCATGTCAGAATTGGAGATTGATGGACAGATGTATCCATGATTGTGGAATTCTGAGAGTAATTAACTGAGACCCTGCCATTACGTTTCATCCATCTCTTCTCAAGCATGGAGTGCCAAAAGAGATTACAATAGAACAGTAGCCCAGGATCCAACGGTAACCTCTCCCCAGGAGCAGCATGGGTCCCATATGACAGGAAGATGCATGGCATCACAGAAGGAGGAGGAGGAGGAGCCATTCTGCAGTTGCCTGAGCAAAAAGAATGGCCTCCCAATATGTCTTCTTTGTCTTTTTAGACAAAACGAATCTTTTATTCTGAAAACAAAAAGAAATTTGTAAACTCTATGTGTTAGTTTGGATTTGTTTTTCTTTGCAGCCTACCTAATCATTCATTATGTAAAGACAGGGAACGTGTCATGAATATTTTGCAGCTGTATACTGTACTTCTGATTTTAGATTTATTAGTTGAAATGTTTTCTAAAACTAACAGCTTTGTGCACTTAAACAGATTTTCTGACTAATGTTTGCATCCTTTTACAACCTTTTTTTCAACTTTGTGTTATAATTTTTTATTCTTAAAACACGTTCAGACTTTATTGTATTAGTAACATTGTCATTCCAGACCATGTGATTTATAATTTTAAATTATGGTGTTAAAATTGCTGTTTGTGCAACTGGGCAATGTGGGGATATTAACACCCAAGTATTCTTCCTCTGCTAATTATTATAGGCTATCCACTCCATGCACCCGAAGCATATTTCCCATATTTCAGGAAACACAACATAACAACAGTCATAAGACTCAACAAAAAGATTTATGAAGCAAAGCGTTTCACAGATGGCGGCTTTGAGCACAACGACCTGTTCTTCATAGACGGAAGCACACCAAGCGATAATATAGTGCGACGATTCTTGAACATCTGTGAGAACGCAGAAGGTGCCATAGCTGTACATTGTAAAGGTAGATGAAACTGGAACATACGCTGGTATAAAGAGGAAAAGGATTGCTATCTGTGAAAAATCACCTTGCCAGATCTTAATGAAATAAACCTATTGCCTTGGATGAAAAGAGGGCTAATGTGAGGTGCCGTCAGCTCCTGCCCGGGGTCTGGACCCTCCGCCGTGTCTTCGCCTGCCCCAAAGGTCCCTTGGGGGTGCGGGGATAAGAGGAGGCTCCCGGGAGAGGAAGAGAAAGGATCCGGCAGCTAGCAGAGCGTGCCTCAGACGCAGACCCTGTGGGGAGTTCCGTCACTCCCCCCCCTTTTGGGTCTGCCTGGAACTGCTGTCTTTTGCCTGCGTCTACCGACTCTCTCTCGTGTGCTCAGTAGGACTGCCAGGCTAGCAGCCAGTCCAGCGAGTCCTCCTCGGCTTGCTCCTGCCGCGGCTTTATTCCCCTCGTCTCCCCCACAAGCCCCCGCACCTGGTCCCCGCCCCTGCCCAAAGGCAAAGACGCCGACCCGCCCACACAGTTCCCGCCCCCTCCCGTCCGGGCGCCGCCGGTCGAGGCGTCGGGCTCCCGCCCCGCCGTGCACTGTGTCGGCGGGCGAGTGCGAGGGCGGGTCCTGGCGCGCCCGCGTTGTCCGGGCTGTTCGCCACCGCCGGGGCTCTTGTTGCCGCGTCGTTCCTCCGCTGCTCGGGCCGGGGCACGCCGTGCTTCTTCCTCGCCCGGGGCCGGCTCTGCCGCGTTCTCCGCCCTGTTCTCCCCGCGGCCGGGGTGTTCGGCTGCTGTGGGCCGCCCGCCGCCCTCTCCTGACCGGCACGGGTCCGCCCACCCAGGTAGGCATACTCCGGGCGTGTCCCCTGGCCTCCCCTGGGTGGCGGCGGGGCAGTCCCGGTCCATACCGGGACAGCTAATACAGTGTTCACATGAATTCTGCATCAGAATCAAACTTGTTCTGTTTGCAGTGCCTGTTCACTGTTGAGTTGAGCACCTCATATGGTCACCTCAGTAATTTGCTCATGATTCAAAACGAACAGAAATTTTGAATAGCTTTGCATCTGCACACTGGTAGCATTCAGCATGGCGAGTGACTACAAACCCACTGTTGATGCACACTCACTGCTTACTGACTTGTTTGGATAATGTATGCCTCAGGGTCATTATGGATGCATTGTGCGCATCATTTGAAATCTGTTGCATTAGAGTGCATGGGCTGCTTTTGCACCTACACTGTTCATGGCATTATTTAATTGGCAGCATTCATTGTGGTAGTGCATGTTCAAAACTTACTGGACTCAGGGTGCCATCCTAAACTCTCTTACCAGGGAATAAATCCCATTGAACTCGGTGGGATTTATTTCTACGTGTACGTGTTTAGGATTGCACTGTCAACTACAGGTCCCACAAAGTATGTGTAACTCCAATTAATACGAAGTTGAATTTAACAGTAACATGCTTGGCTTTGGAAATCAGGCAGGGGTGCAGAAAGGGAATGGCTGGAACACTAGAGACGCAAGCCACATAGGTTCCCCACTTGCTGCCACAAACAGCCCCCCCCCCCGGAGATTTGAACATTCCCTCTAGTTTTGGTGATTCCTTTTAATACAGAAATGAGTGAGGTGGAAAACATTTGCATTTGCAATTCAAAATCAAACATGAAAAACATTTTTTTTAAAAAAACCTGGTGTTGGTTGCAGTTTGTGAACCAAACAGAAGAGTAATCGAGCATCTCTGGATGAAATTGTTCAAATTACAAATACTTCCATTCCATTCTGTAATTTTGTAAACCATGAATATTACATGCAGACTTTTTTTATTCCACTGAGTGATGCTGTTGCTTCTCTTTTGGTAAAGATTTTTTAAAATACCAAAGAGAAATTAGTTTTGTGTGTAAGGGTAGACCTGCTAATAGTTTGCAGCAAAATGGTCTTGCATCAAGATAAAGACCTTTAAAAGCTTTTGCAAGCCAGAGCATCACATGAATGAAAACTTATTCTGTCTTATATTGGGGGTGACTAATGCAGTACAGAAAGCCTGTGGTCCCTCTTTAGACATTCATACAATTCATTTTGTTTCCAACAAATTCAAAAGACAATAATTTAAAATTCATGGACAACACAAAAGATTACAAAAAAAGAGCCAACTAAATAAAAAAGGATAATCACTCTACAGCCAAACAAATCAGTAAAACCACAAGAATGCAATAAAATTAACCTGAGAGAACAAACAATAAAAACTAATCTTTATCACAGATCCAGAACTTTGAATTGTGCCTCAAAGCAAATTGGCAGCCACTGTAGGACTATAGCAATGCTATATGCTCTAAGTAATTCATACTGGCAAGTAATCTTGCTGCTGCATTTTTAATGAATGGAAGCTTTCTGTCTTCTGAGGCAGTCCACATAGACAGTATTACAGTAATCCAGCTGGGATGTGATCATAGAGGGCCACATCAACCATCTGAAGGCCAAGATTTCTTAGCACCAATAGCGTCAAGCCTGTACCTTTGCGGGAAGGTGTGTAACCCAAAATGTGATCTATTCAGGTCATTACAAGCTAGGAACAGATTACACCCACTCTGTATCTTCTGTTCTTTTAACAGGACCTTGTTTTTGTTTTGTCCAAGCAGAATAATGTGACACACCTCTAAAGCTCTGTGGGCTTTTCTGGTCTCACTTTGTGGTGCTCCCCTCCTTCCCCCGCCCTTTGTATGTGCATAAGTGCTGTCAAGTCACAACTGACTCGGTTGCTTTGCCCATTGCTTTCCTCTGCAGAGCTTTCTCCATGGTCTCCCATCCAAGTATGACCCTGCTTAGCTTCTGAAATCCAAGCTGTGCCATGCTACCTTCCCTGCCTACATGTATAGATCTTCAGATTACTGTTTCATGCACCTGGTAAAGTGGGCCCTGGTCCACAGAAACTCATGTCACAATAAATGTGTCGGTCCTGCCATGCTCATGGTTGTGGAGCAACAGTAATACATGGTACATCCATTCTCTCCACAACAGCAGTGTAAACTCTCTCTCCCCCCCCCCATGATCAAATCATTCAGATCAGCTTCTCTGCTTAGCCTGGCTTCAGTGTAGCATTGTCCTTTCCACGCCTCTCTCCATGGTGTCTCTTTTTTAAGATTGCTGAAAGCAAAGTGTAAAGGTTTTCCCTCCATTTGTTTGTTTTCTTTGGGTGGAGTTGCCTCTTTTTTTCTTTTTTTGCTTTTAGCCAATTTAGACAGCAGCACCCCCTTGCAGTTTTCCTGTGCTACTTCTCAAGAGGGGACCGGTGGATAAACCTTTATGCTCCCTTGGAATGAGAGCAGACAATGCAAGAAGTAGGACTGTTTAACCCAGGGTGAAAAACAATTTCCCAGGAGGCAGTTTCTCAAAGTATCAAGTTGGTGGAAAAACTCGGACAATAGCATTCGATGTTCTGTTAAACTGAAGGTCACTTTGGTTTCACTTAGACTTGTTCCAGTGCAACAATTATGATCACGGCTCTACTTTAACCATAAAAACACATTTTGGATAAGATTGTATTCTTAAGGAATTCTGTTCTGCTGATAGAGATGATGAGGAAGATTCTCTATCATAGTCTCTTTTTCATTGGAAGTATACCAGTAAGTCATGAGGCTGAGAGCAGAACAGCATGGAGTGTGACAAAGATATCTCTGAAGACAGTAGGATTAGTCATCCTGTATTGTGGCATCAGGTTTCCTGCCCTCCATTATTGACAGACAGTGATATGTGCTGGGGGAATATACAGCAGGATGCCACAGAATAGCCTAAGTGATCCTATAGCTGGCATAGGTGAGAAGGACAACTTGATACAGGATGCTGTTTTTGGTGGCATCTCTGTGTTGTACATAACATGTACCCCCACACACACCTTTTACATGCACTGTTGGTTGGGTTTGTATGTCAAACTCTTATTGGCCCTCCCTGGTTCTGTGTCTGTTTGTGTGTGTATGTGTGTGTTATTAAATATTTATACATACATTTTAAATGCTGGTTTTATTTTTAAAATATTTTAATGCCTTCATGTTCAGAGCCTTGGGGGACCCTATTTTGGTGGAAAGGTAGCATATAAATGTTTTAAATACTAATATTAATATAAACTAATGAAACAAGGTTCAGCAGAACAGGGGGTGGTATGTTCTAGATCATCCATGGCAGGAATAGGTAGGATGTTAAGATCAGCATTAGCAAGGCTATGTATGATCTACCAGGATGCTTGTACGCCCTGATGCACTTGTGATGCTTAAAATAGATAGTAGTAGTATTCTTCTGTAAAATATTACAATGGATTGCATTTAAAATACCAGTTATATAATAAAGCAGAATAGAAGTTTGAAACATAACATGTTTAACGGTATTAGTTGTAGATTTTCTGGGCTGTATGGCCATGGTCTTGGCATTGTAATACTACAGTGCCAAGACCACGGCCATACAGCTCGGAAAATCTACAACAACTAATGAACTCCAGCCATGAAAGCCTTTGACAACATATTTAACAGTATTCTTTGGTATTCCTAAAAATGTAGTTCAATACCTAAGATCAGTTTTGTTTCTTTTTTACTGTAGCTGGGCTAGGAAGAACAGGAACACTGATAGCCTGTTATATAATGAAGCACTATAGATTCTCGCATTCTGAAGCCATTGCCTGGATAAGAATGTGTCGTCCTGGTTCTATCATTGGACCCCAGCAGCACTTTCTTGAAGAGTAAGTATGACCACGTGTTAATACAATATACTGCACCAAATGTGTATTTTTCCCCTGTCTGTAGGATTGAGCTACATAAAGACCAGATTATACAGTGGCTTTTCTTATAGCAGAATTATCTAAATTATTTGTGTAGTTCCTGGTGTATTGATTTGCAGCAGGATGGGGTGTGCAATAGAAGGTTACAGCTGGGACTTCTGGTCTATGGAACAGCGATGGCGGACGCTCTTACCACAACGGGGAAGGGCGGTTCGCACACCGGCAGCCTTGAGGGGTGCCACCTCAAGTGACACCCCCGCAGAGCCTTTGTGATAGACTCCAGGCCAGGGGGCTTTTGAGGGGTAGCCTGTTCGATGGCGTAATGCCAGAGAATTGAGGCTCCCCTCCACCCCGACGGTCCAGTCACTGAGTGGCCTTAGGGCATAAGCTGGACTGACCGGGACAAGCACCGGAGATCGAGCGGAATGGCGTAAAACTGAGCGTGGTCAAAGAAAATGACCGACAATGAATGTGAGTTCTGAATAAAACGGAGTAGTTTGAAAAGTGATTCCCCCCCCCCACGGTTGAAAACAGTGATTGCAAAGAGGGACGCCTCTTGTACAAATGAGCGGCTAACGGAAACAAAGGGGGAGAGGGGAGTAAGTAAACCGAAAGTGTTTAGAGAGACTTATCTGAATCGCGAAGTCGTCTGGCAAGTTTTCCAAGTTGTGTGGAAGCGGTAGAAACTGTAAACAAAACGGGAAAGATGGTGGCCCAGCAGAGAAAGTTTAAAATGAAGCCAGGCAGTCAGAGTCCGAGACCGGAAGAGGGAGCAGATGTCCTCAAACTCCTGGCGGATATGCTTAAGCCGGTGATGCAGCAACTCGATGGTATTAACCAGCAATTGACCGTGATGAATAAAAACTTTGCAGCACAGCAGCTTCAGCTGAATGAAGCAGAGAGAAAAATGGAGCAGGCAAACGAGAAAATTAAAGAGATAGACACCACAAGCAAGAAGTTGAAGAAAAGGCTGGGAGATGTGGAAACAAAGCAGAATTGCCAAGAGAATCGAGTTTTGCAGCTACAGATGGAAAAAGCTAACATGATTCTCAGGTTTCAGGGGGTTCCTGAAACAGATTGGCAAGACGTGAAGAGGGTGCTAGGTGAGATTATCGCTCCAGTAGTAGGTTTAACAGCGGGTGAACTAGTAAACAAAATGGAGTCAGCCTGTAGGGCATACTCCAATTACATTAAAAAAATAACCTACCTGGAGAAATAGTGGTCAGGTTTGTAAGAAGACAAACCAGAGATGCCATTTTAAAAGCAGCTTCAGCAACTCCACTGAAAATGGGAAATGTAACCATTAAAACCTTAAAGGACATTCCATTTGAAATTAGACAAAAGAGGAAAAATTACAAGGGCTTAATTTCTTTTCTTCAAACGAATGGGATATTGTACAGGTGGGCGGTTCCGGTGGGTGTCATCTTTAAGATCAACGATAGAAGAGAGAAGATAGACTCCACTTTTAAAGCCAAAGAATTTTTGAGATGTCAGCTGGGGACAGACGAAAAGTCCAAAGAGGAAGAAACGAAGTTTAGTGACTCTGCTACCTCAGGAACAGAAGAGGATTCTGCGGCAGAAAAGGGTGCAGGACCAGCCAGAGTGGTGTACGATTTTAGAGACAGAAAGCCTAAGTAAAGGCAGAAGGACTTGGAAAATGGCCTTTTGAAGCGAAGAATAAGATGATCAGAGACTTCTCTCGTAACAACTAACAAAATAACATATAAATAGTGAATTGTTATAAGCAAGAACTCTACAAGTATATTGTGATACTAAAACTAATCGTACTAACATTTTTACTAACAGTGAAAAGATCTCCTCCTCTTGGGGTTTTAGTTTAGTGTAGTTTGCTTTCCTTTATCCTTAGTTGTAGTCCCTTCCCCAATATTTCTTTGTAGTTTTTGTAGTATTTGCAAAATAAAAAAAATATCCCTCCGGGGATTTAAAAAAAAAAAAAAAGAAGGTTACAGCTGTCATTCTGTGTCTGGTTTTTCACATAGTATCAGAAGAATGGGTTGGAAAATACTTTAATCCTTTCATGTGACTTGCTGGCAGAGCCTTCTGAGGTCTTCAGTGTAACTTGCTTGATCTGCAGTTGTCTGCATTTGTGATATTGCCTGTAGCAATAGAAAAGAGCAAGAGTCCAGTAGCACCTTACAGACTAACAAAATGTGTGGCAGGGTGTCAGCTTTCGTGAGTCACTGCTTGCTTCTTCAGATACAGATAGAATGTGAGTCCATCCGTCCTATATATTGGAAAGTGGAGTGATTTCAGATGCCGAATGACAATAGCAAGTGAATGACAATAGCAGTAGAAAAGAGCAGGAGTCCAGTAGCACCTCAAAAACTAACAAAATTTTTGGCAGGTATGAATTTTTGTGAGTCACAGCTGCCACAAATTGTTTTAGTCTTTAAAATGCTACTGCACTCTTGCTCTTTTCTACTGCATTTGTGATACGGTGTCTCAAGTATCAAGTGCATACCATTTTTTAAAACCGAGTTCATGCAAGGCATGTGTTTTATATCTTCCACCCTGCTTTAAGAACAGTTTAAATGGTTAGGTTTCAGGTTTGTTTCAGCTCCATTTTAGTTTTCTGCTTGATTTCTAAACTTCTGTAGTCAAAATCCTATTGTACTGTTCATTGTATTTGACTTGACACTATGTAATCTGTCTTGCATCTGAGCAAGAAAGGTGGACTATAAATAACATAAGTTTTCAAAGTGTTTCACTTTTAGAAAAAGACTAGCAGATATAATGATGTTTCTCAAGTAGGAAAGCAACTTGTTTGACCTGTTTCCTTCCGATTTCTATTCTAATGCCTTATAGGATTTGTAGTGATGAACTACCGGTATTGAAGTCCTAGTAACAATCAACATTTGTCAGGAGAATTGTCAGCTGAACCTAGTGCTCTGATCCCACATCTTCATCTCCCCACTTCCAATATCCCTCATCAATACTATCATATTCCTCGTTCCATTACATATATACTATGTCATGCATCACACTAATCTGTGCTGATGGTAGCAAAGAGATCTCTTCATTCACCAAAAGTCAGTCAAAGCCGCTCCTCCATTAAAGGTAAAGGTAAAGGTTCCCTTGCTCGAAAGCCAGTCAAATCCGACTCTAGGGTTGCGGTGCTCATCTCCGTTTCAAAGCCGAAGAGCCAGCGCTGTCCAAAGACGTTTCCGTGGTCATGTGGCCGGCATGACTAAACACCAAGGCACACGGAATGCTGTTACCTTCCCACTTGAAGTGGTACCTATTTATCTACTTGCAATTTCTTGCTTTCAAACTGCTAGGTTGGCAGGAGCTGGAACTAGAGATGGGAGCTCACTCCATCATGTGGCACCTGGGTCTCGAACTGCTGAACTACCGACCTTCCACAGCCTGCAGTTCAGCGTCTTAACCACTTGAGCCACCGCAGCTCCTCCATTAGACCAAGTTTAATACGGGTAAACAATCTTAAAGTTGTTCTGTTCAGCAATTTTGTAAGAGGTCATTCCACTGCCACTTATTAAGAGCTAGGCAAGAAGTTTTCTCACACCTTTTCTAACGGCTCATGTCTCCTGAAGTATCCAAACTGAAAAGCTAACAACATTTTGACCAATTTCTGCTCCCTGAAATCTCTTGCATACAAAATTGTTTAATAGGACAGTTTTAAGACTGTTAACCAATATCAAGTGGGGGAAGGTTGTGATGTGACTGATTGGGGTTGAATGAAGAAATCTCATTTTCACCATCGCCAAAGACAAGTGTTGGCAGTGTTGTACTAATACATTTCATTGTTTTAAAGAGTCCCTTCCCCCGCTGTTGCTAATTACTTTCCAATGTATTTTCTTCTTTAGAATGCTACAATAGCAGGGGGAGTAGGTTTCAAGCAATGAAACCTGGTAGAAGATGAAGGATTACATAACTTGTCTTTTCCCCTTTGTGAACTGAGTCTGGACAAACCTGCAGTTTGTGTTTTATGAGCAAAACTCATGATCTTTGCTTGTTCATTTGAGCCCATAGATCACTGCCTCAATAAAAGCAGAAGGAGAGAGGAGGTATCAGTTTGTGCTGATGCTGCGTATAGCCTCCAATTTCTGAACTGCTCAGTGGATTTTAACCTCTGGTGTATCTCAGCTACTGAATAACTCCTGCTCAGGTGAAGCGGTAGGCAAGAAAAATAACATGAAAGCAGAAAATAAAATGAAATGAGAAAGTAATAGGTGTTACGGGAATTAGCTTTCTGGTTGTGCCACTGGGCCCTCCCCTATACCTGTGTTGACTGTCCCCACCTCCCCCACTCCTGCACCCTGGAACAAGCACCATGACAGAAGTCCTTACGTAGAGCACTTTGGGGAGTGGAACCATCGGACTCATGTACTGTTGCTTTTTCCTCCCACTGTGCAGTTTCTCAAAAGCAGTAACATTTGTTAGGCATAGTTCTGTATGTCATGTTTGAAAGCTAGCTGAATCAACACATCCCTTTTTAGGGGGTCAGCAAAATCATGAAACATGTTGTGATAACTGTTCAGCATTTATCGGAAATAAAATGAAATGAAGAATTGTGTGATCCACTAATTGCTTAGTTCTCTAAATTGACTTTATCACAAAGACAATTCGTTCTAAAGTTACTAACATATAGTTTTCTCTTCGTACTTTAGTACAGGGAAGTGGCAACTTTTACATAGTGGCAAATGGATGTCATGCTTTCACCATCTAAGTGGCATGTGTGACCAAATAGTCCCTTGATCCCTGGGTATAATTATGGTAGTCTGTTTGGACATGCATGAAAGCACAGTCTGCAGTTTGTTCAGTGTCTTCTCTCAAGGCTTGAATTGCAGAAAGGAGAAACAGAGACATCAGCCTATGGAGAGTTGCAGGCTAAGCCTGCAGGGATGGGAAGAGTTAGAGTAACTGACTGAGCAGCCTTAATGAGAGATGCAGAACATCATACTTTTTGTTCTGTACAGAGG